TTAATTTTGCCACAACTGTTATTTATAACGTACTACAATTATCTACTTATTTCTTTTATTTTTATTTATTATATTACAATTATCTATTATTTCTTTTATTATTATATCTACTTATTTATTTAGTTTTCCTACAAACTAAATACATTTGGTAGAGTAACATTTGGTAAAATAAATGCATTTATTGAATTTATCAAACTCGAAATATTTTGAAATGCAAAATTTAGTGGCTTTGTACGATATTATTACTTCGATATTTTTTTAACTATTATTGGTCTCATATAAAATAAAAGTTGTTTTATGATATTAATAAAGTTATATTCGGGAAGAAATAGAAAAGTACAATAAAATTTACAAAAAGTGTATTGTAATCAGATACTTATCTTACCACAAACTTAAAAAAATAATCAAAATTACACCAATTATAACAAGTGGAAACAAATTAACTTAAAGTATTCTTTCAAATCAAAACAGAAAATAATTTGAACCCCAAAAATAACATTATGGCTCTAAAATCAGACCTAATTATAAAAGACGTACTTAAGTAATAAGTAAAAAAAACTATGAAAAACTTAAAATAGGTATCAATTAGAACTAAAAAACATAAGTTTGTATCAAATCAAAACATAATTAAAACAGTACTATAATCCTATTCTGTGTTAAAACTCAAAAAATTTAAATTGTTTGCACCTAAGCCATAGGTCAGTACTCAACTAAAAATGAACACCAAAACAAAGGTACAGCAATCATTATAAAACTTTCAAACGACTCAATTCAACTAAAAATATTTCGTAATAAGGTAAGTAAAACACAACACAAATAAAACTCAAAACTCAAAAAATAATATGACACTAATCAGGTACATTGAGTACACCAATCAACAACTTATTCTAATATCAATTTACTTAAAACTAAAAATACTTTCATAACAAAATAAAACATAATATAAATTCAAAACAATTTAAATGGCTGTACCTAATCAATAATGTAAAAAAGACATAAAAATAGGTACCCATTCATTCAAACACAGCGTAAATCCCTTCAAAGTTAGAGTGAACAGGCTCCTTCTGGGTAAGCTCGCTCCATCGTAGACTTTGTCTCTGTCATCTCTGACCAAGACTAGAGTCAAGAGCAAACACATCACAAAAAAAGTATAATTTAAAATTAAATAACAAATGTATTAAAAAACATGACTCTAAAAATAAACATTACGTTAACTTAACAATGTAAAAACCCTATTTACGAACGGGCATGCCAGGGAGTCGGTTTCATCCTTTCAGAAAGAGTGGGTCAATGTGTGAAAGAGTATGAATGTGTAAGCCTGAGGCTGGTATGGATACGAATGAAAGTGGGCTGAAAGAAGCTGTTCTTGCTAGGGGTGTACGCCCCAGACATGTCTAAGCCCACTTACATCCGAGAGCAGTTTTGGGACATGGTAAGGATGGTGTTGACAAAATGTAAGGAAAATGAAAATATTATTATATTAAGAGACTTTAATGGAAGGGTTGGGGTGAAGAGGTCTGGTTATGAAAGGATATTGGGAACGATTGGTGATGAAAGTACAAATTAGAATGGTGAAAACCTCCCCACCGTATGTGTTGAAAAGAATCTCTTTGTGACAATAATTTTTTTCGTCATAAGAAGATTCACATGTATATATGGGAAAGAGTTGATGATAGAAGCATGATAGATTTCATAATTGTGGACGAAAAAATGAGGAGCGCAGTCGTAGATACAAGGGTTTACCGGAGGTCCAACGTAGGGACGTATCATTAATTGGTCTTATGTCGAATTAATGGTATTTTCAAGCGTTGGCGGCATCGGACATCTGTGTCTACCACTGCGTTACAGCGTATAAGAATAGAGAAGTTACAAGATGAAGATGTGAAAGAGAAGTATAAATGTAGACTGAGAGAAAATATTAGGTGTTTGAATGAGTTTTGTATGAATGATTTAGACTTGAATACTGTGTGGGATAATATTAAGAAAGGTTTGGTGGATGCAGCCACCGAAGTATGTGGTGTAAGTAAGAGAACAAATGAAAGGAAAAGGAATTCGTTGTGGTGGGATGATGACGTGCGGGTGGAAGTTGAATCAAAGAAGAAAGCATGGTTAGATTTACTAGCAACTAAAGCCGGTAATTCTTCTGGTATGAATGATGAGATTGAAAGAAAAAAGGCAGAATTTAAACGTCTAAATAAGGGAGTAAAAGAAGTAGTTGAAAGGAAAAAGAAAGAAAGAACGGATAAGAATGATAGAAGGATATCTGATAATTTCCAGGCTAATATAAAAATATTCTGGAAACTCGTAAGAACTGCCAGGGGAAATACAAAACAGCCTATAATTAATGCTATAAGAGACGAGAATGGATGTATTCTGAATGATGAAGTTTCGAATTTAAACAGATGGAAGGAATACTTTGAAAGCGTGTTTATGAGTGAAGAGTCGTCTGAATTAAATGAACAAGAAATTCCGAAAGAAGTGGAAAGGGGTATGGAGATAAGTGTAGATGAAATAATAAAAGCAATGAAAAGCGTGAAAGCAGGTAAGGCAGCTGGATATGATAGAGTATCACTCGAGATGCTAAGGGCTGAAGAGGGAGTGGTGGCATGCCTGCTGTACTCCTTGTTTAATTTACGTTGGGAATTAAAACGGGTACCGGATGACTGGTGTAAAGCAGTTATAGTACCAATATATAAAGGAAAAGGGTCACAGCAGGACTGCAAAAACTACCGTGTTATCAGCTTGCTTAGTATTGTGGGTAAACTGTATGCTAAGGTGTTAATTGAAAGAGTTTTGAAAGAAACTGATGGAAAAATTTGGGATGTGCAAGCGGGTTTTAGAAAGGGAATGTGTACAGATCAAGTCTTTTTCATGCGCATGATTGCGGAGAAGTTTTCGGCTAAAAACCAGAAAGTTTTTTGTGCGTTCATGGACTTGGAAAGGGCTAATGACAGAGTGGATAGGAATGTGTTATGGCAAACACTGAACTCATATGGGTTGAGCGCTGGTTTGATACAGGCATTGAGGTCTCTTTATAGGGATTCTAGTGCTTGTGTCAGGATCAATGGGGTCTACTCGGACTGGTTTAGCATCCGAAAGGGTGTCAGACAGGGTTGTGTGGCTTCCACCTGGCTGTTCAACCTATTTATGGACAGGTGTTTGCAAACTTTGAAAGATGAAGAATGAGGGTTAAGAATGGGCGAGTTAACCGTCAAATGCCTTTTGTATGCCGATGATCAAGTCATATTTGCGTCATCGGCGGCTGAGTTGCAAATGATGGTTACATTAATGAACTGGGCAAAAGAAAGGGGAATGAAAGTGAACGCAAGTAAGACGAAAGTGATGGTTTTTGAAAGAGAGGAAAGCAAAACGGTATGTGAAATAAGAGTAGAAGGAGAGTTAATTGAGCAAGTGGATGAGTTTGTGTATTTGGGATGTGTATTTAGCAGGGATGTTAGATATGATAAGGATATCGAATGACGAGTAATAGAGTGAATGGAGCACTACACTCTATTGTGAAGAAACAGAATGTATCAAAAAAGGCGCGTATGGTAATTCATAATGCTGTGTTAGTCCCTACTTTAATTATGGTAGTAAAGCGGTAGAAGAATCACGAAAGTAGAATAAATGTTTTAGAAATGCGGTCTTTAAGGAGTATGCTAGGGTTGAATCTGAATGACAGGGTGAGGAATTGCGTGATAAGAGATAAATGTGGTATGCAAGATGATGTTGTGATCAGGATTAAGAAAGGAATGCTTCGGTGGTTTGGTCATGTAGAAAGAATGAATGAGTAAAGAGTGACAAAGCAAATTTATATGGCAGATGTGAACGGCAGAGTCGGGAAGGGACGCCCTAGAAAAAAGTTTATCGACCAAATTGGCGATATTTTGAAAATGGGCCACGTTAAAAGTACCCTTAACCGACGAGCATGTATGCGTAGATATATGGATGTAAAGGAGGCGAAAGAGGTATATCAGGATCGTGTTAAATGGAAGTCCGTGGTCTCTGCCTACCCCTCTGGGTGACAGGTGTGAGTGTTTATGCTAATTTTATTCATGCTGTTAGGGTTTAAAGTTTAGTTTAGTTTTCAGCAATATGTAGAGCAAGGGGCCAAAAGAAGCTTACTCATCGACTTCAGATAAATCAGTGGAGCGTGATGGACCCTGGTCTTCGTTTGAACATGGTAAACTTTCGTACCAGCCATGAAGCTCTTTAGGAATTATATTTTTCTTACAGAGCTGTAAAAGGTCTTTCTTTTTTTGTTTTGTTATAGGAAGACGTTGTTTATATGCCCGGGGAAGATCTTCAGTATTTATAGTTGGCATTTCAGAGTTTAGAGTTCTCCTAGTCGGTTTCCCTGGTTTACAAAGAGTATTTAGTAAGTTATATGGCTCATCGTAATTTTATCTGTATTTAATAAAACCAGGTAATTCTTTTTCAAATCTAAGACATTTTATTTTCAACCAGCACACTTTCTCCCCATTCTCCGCTATAGTTTTGTTTTTAATTATTTTCGAAGCAAGTGCTTTTACATCAATCATGTCTTGATATGATAATTCAGTTACATTATATGGAGTTACATTTTTATTTTGTCTTTTTGATCTTGCCCGTAGCATAATTCCCTTCCAATCTATTATAGAATACGTGTCTGTGTACATTTTTTCTTTTTCTATGACACTATGCATTGAATCTACTTCCATAAAACTATGACCAATTTCTAGATACTTCTGTTCTAATACGTTGATTGTCTCATGCGTATGTACTAAGTACAATAAAAATGCTGCTATGTACTGATTTCGGTTTAGTCCCGAGCACGTGTCGGAATAAATGGTGACGTGCGTTAAAACCTCGGGGAGATTCTTAATCCATAAATGAATAGCAGATGCTATTTCAACACTGCCTCTTTTGCCGTTTATTTCCGTTCAGATCATACAGTGAGCGTCGTTCTGTGGAGGTTTAAACTCATAAATAGATAAATTATATAAATTTAATTTTCTTGGTTAATACATTAGACTATCTGCAGTCGATGGAATCTGCAGTAGACTTTGCAAGTCCATGGTGACACACAAATATGATTCATCTTCTCCCGACTTCTTTTTATCCAGCTCTTTAGATCTATAAGATGCCTCTTTTCGCTCTATATGTTGAGTATACTCATTTTGAATATTTATATTAGTTTTATCTTTTTTGTAATTGTTACAAATGCTACATTGATCCTTATTGGGGTTATAGAACGCTAAATTGTATTCTGTACCAAACACTTTCTTATAAATGTTTAATTTTACTGGCACTTTATTGCTTTCTTTCATTTTCTGCACATACAAATCATACATTTTTGATATTGACAAGGTAGGTTCTAAGTATTTCCTGGTTGTTATTTTTTCTACAGTAATGGGAATCAATTACAGGAAAACTTTCAATCTGATTTTTTACCTCTTGTATCTGTTCTCCACGAGTTTTGTTGGCAGGCGCTTGTCTGCCACGATTATCCATTTTTGTAAATACACCATGATCATCCACATGTTTTACTGCAGTTTCGATTGGACCAGTAGAAATGCAAAGAGTGGACATAAAATAGTTCTTGCATACTCGTTCAAATACAGTCTTATTTTTATAGAAACCGTATTCTCTGCTAGAACTTCTTTGCTTTTCGATCGGTACAGATTTTCTTGTAGTCTTCGCTGGCTTAATGATGATGCGCTTAAGCAAAAACTCTTTTTGCAGCTTAAAATCTTGTACAGACCAATAGAATTTGCAAAGTTTCTCACGCTCGTTTTGTGTAAACTTTTCTGTGCATTTCTGGCGACAATTTTAGCTGCATTTAGGACTTTTAGGTAGTTTAGCTGCAAGAAACTTTCCAGTTTTACTCTTATATGGCAAACATTTTACGTTTCTTCTCCAACTCTTTATTTCTTTTCCAGTTTGTTTGATTAGTATTTTTCCATCTGTAGATTTCTTTTTCCTTATTTCTTGTTCCTTTTTCTGAATCTGTTGTCTCAGCAATTGTGATATTGTGTTCCATGATCCTTATGTCACGGTTAACTGGTGAGACTTGGACAATAGGAGTTTCAATAATAGCGCGAGTTGTTATAATATTACCTGTTTCATCTTCAGAGTCACTCGACAAAATGGGGTTTATTCGTTCAAATCTCTTAACTCTTTTTTTCTTCTTAGCCACTGAAATATTGATATTTATTAAAGAACTACTTTTCCTTTTTATTTTATTTTCTTCTTTTGTGTCCGGAATCCATGAAGATCCAGAATCAGAAAAAGGTTCTTCATCTGTCGAAGGTGGCATTGGTTCGATACCCGAAATTGGACTTGACCCTCTGATAGGCGAACTGACATCTTTAAAGTTGTATAATATTATGTTGTCATCTTCATTTAAATTAATTTTACTGCTACACAAAGATATGGGACTGACATTTACAGGCATAGGTGCTGATTGGGGTGGGTTAATGTTATTAGTAATCATTTCGCTAGCCATTATTGATGCTGGAGTCGATTCGCATGTAATTATCTTAAATCCGTCATGCTCAGGAAGCTTAGGAACATCAGTAACCAACAGCCCATCGGGCATTTTTTCTATCGTAATATCAACAGCAAAATTTATGTCGTTGCAAACATTTTTGTTCATTTCGGATGGTAATTTCTGGCATGTTATAACATTATGTTTTTGTGGGCTGACAATAATGGTACTTTGGTCCTGTTGTTTGATTGTCTTATTTTTGTCCTAAAACAATAAGAAGCAATAATATAGTGGGTATTTAATGAGGAAATAAGTAAAATAATAATCATGAAACAAGAGTTGCAGTCAAATTTGTCAAGTCAAGTCAAGGCACACGTTTGGTCATCAAGCTTAATAAGCCTCGGAATTCGCCAACTTTGATACGGTTAGATACATTAGGTATCTAGGTTGGTTAGGTCACTTAGGTAATAATGTCAGCCATACAACAAGAGTTAGGTAATTAAAACAGGTCCACTCCTAAGAACTATCTGAGCACCTAGTAAACAAAACCGCCTAGTAAACAAAACAAAGAAATCTATTTGTTAACTAAAAATTATTTTTTTGCTATAGGTACCTTTTTATGGGGTGGTAAAATCATCAAATGAGTCCTGCCACCCTACTGTCAGACTTGTCAGATTTAAACCTAGGTACCCTACGTAGTTTCACTCTTAAAAGAATATTTAACGAAAATACCCAACAAAAACAATTTGTGTGACAAGCTAAAAGTAACCTTAATTCTTCAACTTAAGAGTCAAAATTCCAATGAAAGCAGAAGAGTTATCAACTTCTCCCACAACTCAAAATGATTGATATTCAAACTCGCATAAGGGGGGAAAAATAAATAAAATAAATATCAGTACATAGTTATGACATAATTATTAATTAATGTTGTTCAAACATTTTTACTGTTAAGAAAGACGTACTTAATCGTATAATTTCTAATTTCTTAATTTAATTTGCAAAAAATTGTTCTAAATTATCTTAGGTACATACCTCAGATGAATCTTCTTCCATTTGACATATTTTCACCATAAATCTACCTCGCGAATTTATTATTGGTCACTCTGACGTCAACGCAATTGAAGGTCACGTATTAGACTAAAACGCACGACACGCGAGCGATGCATCAAACCGCACCCGCTCACCCCCGCGTTCTCAGTCGTCGTTACCGATCAGAATATTTCGCGCAAAATTCTCTTAAAAATTTAATGATGACTTTCCTCAGGTGCATTTTGTTTTATGGCAATTATAAACAACTTTTTTTATTTAATTTTATTTGCCTAGTATCTTATAATTAATCATTATCTAGTTGTAGAAGAAATAGATAACATCAAGTATTTATAAATTAAGTAGGTTATATCAGAATTCTGAATAGCAGAATTAAATAAATAGAGTTATTTAGTTTTCCTAGAACTTTGTTAGTTTTGTGAAAGAATTTTGAAGTTGAGGAAAATTTCAACAACTCATGTTATTTAATTTATTTGACATTCAACTTATCATTGGCCACAGTTATTGATTTATTTACTGAGTTATTTAATTTTCCTTTAAGAATAGTATTTGTCTGAAGATATTTATTATTCCATCTGTCCGACAAAAATGGCTATATTTTTGGAACGGAATATGATACGAAAACGCCTGTAAGACTCCAATATGCGGCATGTTTTAGGTGTTTTGAAAATAGGGAAAAGTCAATATCGCCAAAATTGGGCTTATTTAATTTTCCAACTACGGGGACGATATTTGGATGCAGCCGTCAATATTCCAATTGTAGTTGATTCATATGATGATGGAATAGTCTCCCACGCATTATATAAAATGAGGAGCATATTGGAAGAGTCGATGCTGGAAACGCGCAGCATGCTTCTCGAAAATCGACCGCGACTTCTCCGCGTGCGGGCTCTTAACCCAATGAGACGGACTCAGTTCTTTTGGCGCCGCACTGACAGTATGCCTAATTATTGGCGCCAAACTTCCCATGGCTAGACGTGCTACTCGACAAAGTAGCACCATCCCAGCCTGGAGAAAAAGAATCGAGGACCATATCGCAAAGGCAAGGGTCCTTATCTCCAGACTAACAAGCTTCAAGTCGGGTAATAATATACCGAGAGTTGTGCGCACCGTTAGAATGGCGTTTACTGGGACAAATATTAGTTTTTCTCAGCTGGATATCACGAAAAAACTAACGGAGCGCATAGATGACCTGAAGCAAAAAATCGCTGCTTGGGGAAAGCGGCTTCGACGATTTAGCGAGAGGTTAAGGCGGTTCAACCAGAATCGTCTCTTCCAGAGTGATCAAAAGAGGCTCTATAAATCATTGGAGCGACCAGAGGTATGTGGAGCGGGCCCAGGACGGGATCAGGCTGACACTGTCGCATTTTGGCGTGGCCTGTGTTCAGAGCTCGTAAACCACAGCGAGGGCCCTTGGATGGAAGTTGTGGCGAGCCAGAGTGCGAGTGTTACGCCTATGGACCCCATCACTATGACGCCGGAAGACATGGCTAAGGCTATCCGTAGGGTTCCGAACTGGAAAAGTCCGGGGCTTGACGAGCTGCATCATTACTGGTTGAAGGGGTTCGTAGTGTGTCACGCTGTGCTCGCACGACAGTTTCAAGAAGCTCTCGATCAGAAGTCACTCCCGAGTCTCTTCACTACTGGGATCACCCACTTGGTTCCTAAAGATCAGGATACCACATATCCGAGCAAATACCGCCCCCTCACGTATTTACCCACCATATATAAGACACTTACATCCATTTTGAACGCGACAGTCACTCGTCACCTGGAGCTAAATCAGGTGATATCACGCGCTCAATATGGATGTCGGGGGCAGTTGTCGTGAAACCATGGAACCACTCCTCATTGACGCGGCCGTTGGCAAATTGGTGAAACGCAACCGTCGGAACTTCTCCGCTGCCTGGATAGACTACAGAAATGCATTCGACTCAGTGCCCCATACATGTCTAAAGAGAGTCCTCGAGCTGTACAAGATCCCATTGTTATCTGGGCGAGCGGATGATGGCTGCGGAGAACCACATATAGATAGATAAAAATAGAAGATACCCCATCTTTCAGGGTGATTATCTGAGTCCAATCTCGTTCTGCCTCTCTCTGAATCCTCTCAGTACCTTACTGGAGGGCTCCGGGAGGGGATTTCAGCTACGGAAGGGAGGTACAAAAGTGACCCACCTTTTCTATATGGATGACCTCAAGTTATTGGCCTCCAGTCGCTCTCATATTATGGAATTGCTAAACATCACTTGTGAATTTAGCATTACTGCAACCACTAGACCAATGAGGAAGATATATTTATTAATTAATTTTAATTTATCAATATTATGTCACTATAGATAAGATTTTAAAGGGCTACTCTCTTTAATAACAACTTTTTCTGGGTCGGTATTATCTTTCGATTTCCTCAAGGTTCAATACTTGGCCCCTTCCTGTTTTTAATATGTATTAGCCATCGAATATATTTTTCCAAGGTTAGTTTTTTTTAAAATTAATCTGTAGAAAATATCTGGTGGAGCGGTAGGGTCTCGGGTTCGACTCCCGGGTCGGGCCAAAAATTTATTATGCGAGATCGATTTTCTCGTGGACTGTACGCGTGGTTCCTTATAACTAACTAAGGTGAATGATGTGGCACGTGGCAGTCTCAGGCAATGCACTCACTATTACCTAATCTATTATTTAGCCAGTGCCCTGTGATGGAATTAAACTTGAGCTGTTAGGAGGAAGATGACACAGTAAAGAAAATAAAGAACACCTCAAGACAATTTAATTGAGCACTTACCTGGGTGGGATTACTTCCTTTTGAGCGGTCTCGAGGACGATGCCCCTGGTGTTGCGACTGCGTTGAAAGAGAGCGAGCGGCGGCAGAGGTGGTCCATTTTATTCGCCAACCATCTCCACATTTAATTTAGGCCGGGTGCGTTTCTTCATTGGCCAAAAATATGACGCCAAATTCTAGCCCCCCTCCTCCCACTTT